GCCTGGTAATGTACAGTTGCAACAACCATCGGCGCAACAGCAAACACGGTCAGGTCGAGCCGTCAGGTTCCCGGAGTATTTAAAGTCGCATTCAACGTGAAAGTGTAAAATAAAATGTGCCAACCATATTTTTTTTACCTACGAATTTTTTCCGAGTCACTATTTTTCTTATTTACCGGCAATGAGCAACCCTCGTACACTTTGCTTTTTTATTTCAATTTTTATTACCATGTGATGAAACTTTTAAAAAACGGTGAAAATGAGCGTAAAATTTTGTTTTTCGATATGTTTATATATAAATAACCCCCATTTTTACGGAACGTTTCCGCGGTATTAAAGATTTTCATTTATATTCCAGGTGCAACGATCACTGGACGGGACGTCAAAAGGAAGTGAGGACCGCTATCGACGTCCAATTCGATTTATTGTATTTTGTTTTTTAATTGCCACGACACCCTAGAATACGTTCAGACAAGTAGGGGCCACTTCACACAGTTAACCCATCGGGAGTCTTACCAGTGGAGAAACCACTGGGTTTTTACTTCCGGCTGGTATCGTCTTAGGGTCCTCACGAACCCACTAAGGGGGGAGTGATCTGTAGCGCCACACACTTCCCTTAAATCAATAGCCTAGGGTTTGACGACTTTCGACATTGATGCTGACCTTGATAGTTTAACTGGACTCACTAAGTTGAAGGCACCCGGTGAAGCATCCTAGCCATTTGGCACGCTGTCGTGTTACGTTGCACTGCTCGTATTCGACTCTCTAGCCAGTTAGTTGGAACGCATCGGTATCTTGGCACAACCATCCAAATATACTATTCCATCCGACTACGCTATTGTGTTCTTCCTTGGTCTCGTATTCGTGGTTATATAACAAGTCCGAATAATTAGTGACTGGTCTTTGCGTCTGTCAAGTTCGCACCAGGACAAATCCTAAAGCCTTTTGAATTGTTTTATTATAAAAATTTAAGTTATGTGAAGAATATTAAAAAGGAGAAAAATTTGCATTGTACGTTAAATTATTGAAATGAGACTTTTACGTCACAAAGTTGGTGTGTGATTTCTGTTCTAACACTTTTTTCCTCACAAAATATACGTGTAAGGTAAGGCACAGTCGAGTTCTCATACTTAGCTGTACGAGCATACAGTCTTATGTAATTTCTCCTTGTCCTCCCTGAGGAGATACATGGACAGAGCTGTAAATGAAGTGGATGCTCGCTGTCCGTAGCTGGCTGCTTGCAGGAATTTATATGTCGATCAACTACAGTGTTAATCAGTTGAGCCACAGACACACCACTCACCCTGCTGACGGTCTTCAAAACCCTATGCAACATAACATAGTCCTTTTCAAGAAGACCAGGAAAGATTAATGGGGAACAATATAGAAGAATAGGTAAAATGCAGGAATAATTAAACTGTAAAAGAAGCAGTTGAGTCATACCAGAAAGTCCCAGTTTCTTTACGTAATAAGTTGAACGAAAGATTTTTTTACAAGTCAATAAAATATGGGACGACTGACAACGGTCAGAAGTAAAACGCAACCCAAGATAGTTCACACTCAATTTACTTTTTGCAGAAATGCCGTTGACGCAGCAAGCGTCATGATATTGAAGCGGCTCACATAAGTCTTGTTTATGCCTTAGGCTAAAATTAACGGTCTGACATTTAGAGGGGTTTAGTTTGAGGCCATTTGAGAGAGACCATTTGCCAACTTCAGATAAAAATTCATTTAATTTTGAGCAATCCAAAGAAGAGTCTACTGGAATAGAAATCGTCAGGTCGTCAGCATGCTTGATAAAATCAGTTTCAACAGAATAAGGCAAATCGTGCAAGAAAAAGGAAAACAAAAAAGGAGAAAGTACAGCACTTTGAGGCACTCCAGCTTCAGTAAGCAATGAAGTCGAGCGCATGACTTTATGAATAGTGTACTGTTTCCTTTCAGAAAAATAAGAATGCAGCCACTTTGTAACCCGTGGATCAGTGTGAGCTATGGTAAGCTTATTTAACAAAAGTGGTCTGGGAACGGAGTCAAAGGCTGATGAGTAATCCGAAAAGGCACAACGGACATAATTAACTCCTTTGTCGAGACTAGAAACAATATTATGATGCAAGACAGTAGCTGCATCTAAAGTACTCCTCCGGTGTTTGTAAGCAAACTGTTTTGGATCTCTGAAGGCCATCAGTGAAGGCCCAGTCACAAGCAGAGGTAATTTCTCCATTGTCTTCAGAGAAGGGAAAGCTATAGCGATGGGTCGAAAAGTAGCATCTAATCCAGAAGATGGCTTAGGCACAGGTACACTTTTTATCTGCTTCCAAGCAGTGGGTATTATGTCTTTAGAGAACGATACACTAAAGATATCTGTGAGTGGATGACAAAATATCTTCACATTTTCTAAATATGATACTAGAAACACTATCAGGACCTAAGCTTTGAAAGGGATTCAAAGACTTTAGACATTTAAATGCATCATTTGTATTGAAACCTGGAAAACAGCTATCCACTTCATTTTGCACATTAGGAAGGGTGAAATTAACTCGCCGACGTATAAATAACTTGTTTAACGCGCAGACATCCGAATGAGTTTGTGTTGTCATCTGTTTTTTACCAGTAAGCTCCTTAAATAATTTCCATATATTGGGAGAGTTCTTACACAATAAGAACTTCCCGTTGTATATGGTATTCAGATGTTGTATTTCAGACTTAATCAGGCGGCTAAGCCTTTTGACGCCATGGTGATCTCTCGCCTTATACAGCCTTTCCTTTTCTCCCCAAAGCCTATTGAGATGAGGAGAGGAAAGTGTCGAATCTCATGTAAATTGTTTCAGTACGGCAGCAGATATCGAGACAGAATCTGAGATAGCTTGTGATATTGGTGGTAGTGTTGTCTAAACCTTCATCAGCAAATATATCCCAGTCCGTTTTATAAGCATGCTTCTCAAACGTAATATATTTTCTTGTGAATAGCATCTGCATTGAACTTTCCTCGAAAGGTATGCAAAAGCTTTCTTGTATAATTTTCTGTACACTTTGGACAAAACACGAACGATACAGTGGTCGGAATTAAGCAGTGGAGCCCTTTTACTGGCTTCGTAATGCCAAGTTCATTTATAAATGCAAAGTCTAAGGTGTTGTCAAGACGAGTGGAAACACTAACCATATTTTTACGACCCAATGATAATAGAAAGCTGTAGTCACATGAGGTAAAATCACCACAGACAAAAGACAAGGAGTTTCGCAGAACAGGAGCAGCAAATTCAGCGAATTTATCAGCAAAAGTTGACAAATCTAAGAAACTGCAGTTAGGTGTGACATATGTGTTTGTGATATATTTGTATTTGTATTTGCTCAAATGTTTGGGATGACATTTGATGGTAATGCACTCAATTTTTTCGTTAGAGAAGCAGAAGCATACAAAGTTGGAGGACGACCAGTTAGTACCAATAAATGTTGTCACACCACCACCACATTTCTTCTTCGAAAAGCTTTGATCCTGTCGAAATAATTTGAAACCATCTAAGCAGACTGAGTCATTATCATACAGATTATGAAGCCATGTTTCCTGCAGCATTATTACACCCTTGGTTCGATAAACATTTGTGGACAAGAGTGACTGAAGGTGACCAACTTTATTTGGCAACGACCTGCAGTTTGTGCTAAGTATTTCCGGAATAGTCATTTGATCCATGGTCATACGCTTCAGAGCTCGTTGCCATCCACCCTGGTGCTTCTTCTTAACTTTCCTATCAACTTGCGGAGCGATAAGCTGTAATGATTTTAAAAACGCGCGAGAATATGCAATACGATTGGTTGACATAATTAAACGATTAAAACAGTACAGAAATAAGAAATTTGATGCAATATACTCGATGACAGAAAACGGTAGCCCAGAGTTCAAGCAGGCCGCCACTCTAGGTACAGGCGGAATGTCGTTAAACTCTATCAAAAACAGCCGAAGATCCTGCTGGCTGTGAAACGAACAAGGAAATATTACCTTGCAGAGTACACAGGATGTTAAAGTTTAGATAATGATAAGTATTATCCTCATACAATGGGTTTAGCACGAGGGATACCAGTTTACGAACGCCGTCAAATCAATAATTTTTGAAAGTTTACAAACTGGTATTTAGCATTAAACAATTCACATATCAAGCCATCAGTGCGCATAATCTTATTAAAATTTGACGAAATCCATGAGATGGGCATGAATTTTCACTTCTTATCGCATAGACAGGTTCCAATATCGATAACGAGAGCTCGCAGTGTTAGAAGTTTGCGTCACAACCAACCAACGTTGTTGGTCCATCCAAATAGTCTGCTATTTAGTAATATAACGGTCTATTCCTTAGAATGATCTTCAGTTTTTAGCTTTGCCAACCACGAAGGACCCATTTGTACGATCTGGAATATCAATGATGTATCCACAGTTATATAACCAAGGTGTATGTCCATATCAATGCCTTTCCAGGTCACCGTGTTACGCTTAAGGTGACACAACTCAATTCCACCAAGAATATTTGTTATATTTGATTGATTTAGATGTCGAAACAGTCAATAGTCCAAATGGTAGTATTTATACATAGGCTTCAGGTACCTTTTGTATTAGCGTAAGCAGAATCATTCAAGAGGTGCATTTGTTGTACACTAACTTTAATATGAAAAGATCACTTGATACAGAGTAACAGAAAATATGTAGTGTGGAGCTACTGCAGGTAAACGGCGTTCCGAGCCAATGGGTAAGTTGATCGCTGGTTTAATCATCGATTCAGAATGTCTCTGCTATTAATACTGTTGGGAAAGTTTAATCGGTTCGTCGCAAACTCAAAATGGTGACCAACAAGTCAGTTAATCGTGAGGATGACCCAGAATTAACTTGAAAACCGCCTAAACATTCCGTTTCCGTCCTTCGAAACCTTCTCCAGCACCTGCTTCACTTCTGGAGCACAGGCACCCGAAGTCTAATTGATGTATACACATGGGATGTAATAGGGTGGGACATGATGATTATATACTGTTTCTGTATTGCAACTTATCGCAGTGTTAATTATTTGCTGGATCTGCATATTTCAGTCGCTTCTTATTTCTTCGGCTTCATTTGGTGTGCTAATATACGGGATTGTCGTGCTCTAGTCGGACTTCAACTAGCGTGTGAACAAACATCTATGTGCTACGTACGGTAGGCCTGGGCTAGCGTTAGAAGCAGATGGCACGTCACACGTGAGAAGGACTTGTCCAAAACAGTGAACGCAATTCAAGGGGCTGTCTTCCTCCGGCTTCTCTCATGTTAAAATCCTTTTTAACGCGAGAATAAAACATTTATTTATTTGTTTATGTTGGAATTCCTGCTTCTCTCTCTGCCTGATGCTTCGCCTGCTTTTTCCTCGATGTAGAATAGTGATTCAGCTTCAGTGTCGTCTCGATCACCATCAAGAGTTAATTATTTAATGAACAGACCTAGGCTGAAACTACCCTCCATGGAGGATAACCTGTTTTATTGCGTTCACAACACCTAATTACCACAAGCAGAAATAAAAAATGTCCACTAGACTAAAACTTCATAATAGTTAAAATCTAGGACTTACTCATTTTGAAAGTTACCAGCAAAGTCCAACAGTTACCAACTGCAAGGCTGTCACGACCCGCGGAAACGGTAGACAATATATCTACAAATTCCACTTGGCGCATTTAAACACGTCTGCTGCTCCTAGAAGCCGGAGTCGGAAAAGTGAATACATTTGACTCTCAGTCATAATATTCATCAAGATTATGAACCTCGAATGTGGAGTGGTATTAACATGCATGGATTATACAGCCCTGGAACCATCAACTAAGTACAATATGCAAACAGTTCGTGCGTACACACCCCCACAAACTTTTCACCATTATCTCAAGCAAAAAGTACAAATTGTTACAATGGAAGTATCAGCTTCAAACCTTATTTTTCTTCAGGTAGTAAACGTAGTGTCGAGATGCAAACCTTGTGTTTTTGCTAACGCGAAGACAATACTTCCACTTGTTGAACTTGCGAATTCTTGCATACTCATTCTGCTGAGATGTTCCATTATATGAGCATGCAGCACTTATAGCTTCTAGTGACAGTAGGTGGAAACTGAGATTACCCTACTTGAAGACAGATGTGATTCGTATAAAAACTTATTTAAGCGTGTAAAAATGGTATGCACCTCTGTGTTCAGGACAAATATTATTACTGCTGTTAATCAGATACCTATGGCGGCAGAAGATATCTCGTGAAACGGTCATTATTACTCCTTCTGACCTGTGTGAATTCCTGCGCATGCCTTTTGGTCCTCGGACTGCAGCACAAACAACCCAAAGCCTTATGAACGATGTCTTCCGTGGCTTGGATTTTGTCCATGTCTATGTCGATGACTGTCCCACTGCAAGTCAGGATAAGGAGACGCATCATAAACATTCAGGCCCTGGATTCAGTAGACCGAGGAAGCATGACACCGCAGTTAACTTGCATGAATGTGAAATAGGAGTTGAATCACTCAGCTTTCTTGGGCATATTATTGACGATAAAGGTACATGCCCATTAAGGCGTAAGGTGGCGGCTATCATAAACTATCCAGAATCAACCAACGTAGGGCAGCCTCGCACTTTCATTGACCCGGCAAGTTATTACCGAAGGCTTATTCCTAACTATGCCTCTGTTGCAAGACTATTTACAGATCTAGTTCCAGGGACTAACGAGTGCGTAAACCTGGAAAGAGTGGCTAGATTTGCTTTCTCTAAAGTCGGGGAAGCCATCTCATGCATCATGACCCCAACGCCCCTTCGAGTACTACTGCTGGTGCATCCAAACCGGCAATCGGGTGACGGCTTTCAGCATTCTTCTTGAGGTGGCTACAAGAGGCGGAGACAAGATACTGTACATCTGGTGGGAAACGTTTGGCTATATGGTGTTTTGCACGCCGTTCCTGAAACCTTGTAGTAGGTCGTGACGTCGTCATTTTTCACAGACCACAAACCGCCAACATTCTCTCCTGGCTCAGCATCTGACAAATATTCCCCGAATGAGTCTCAGCAACTGGATAACACTTCCCAGTTTATGTCTGTCTGCCGCATGTACGGAGCATATAACACTGTAGCCGCCGCACTATCTCGAATAGTTTCGATAAACTGTATCGAGGGTGTTGATCTTGTTGAACTAGCTCGGTGTCAAGAAGATCTTGAGCTGAACCATGAGTTGTCGTCCGCAACTCTCAAGTTACAACTGTATCCAGTAAGATCAGGTAAAGTTACAGTTTTAGGCTGTTTCCGCTAGTCAACCAGGCCCAATGGTATCGGAGAGAAGTCAATGTAACGTCTTTAACACGTTGCGCGAACTGTCCCGTCCAGGTATACCAGCCAGCAGGCCTGTCGCACAGTTTCCACTGGCCAGGAATGAAAAAAGACGTTGAAGAGTGGACTCAGCCGCTCGTGGCTTGTCAAAAGTATGGTCATATGACACATGAAAAGCTCCTAAGGTTCTTTTCTCGCCCCAGACATGGGTTTCAACCACGTCCATATAGATATCGTAGGACCTCTACCAGTCAAATGGATGTGCTTACCTTTCCACCCGCGTGGATCATTTTACGAGATGACCAGAAGCAGTTACCACTAAGGATATTGCTGCTGGAAGTATCCTTCGTATTTTCACGGAGAGACCGGTTGCGAACTTAGGATGTCCGTCTTACGTAATGATAAACCGTGAGCGCCAGCTAGAGTGCGGATTGTTTCACACTCTAGCCGCACTTTTATTTCGTACTGGGTTCTGAAAGACAGCCGAACATTCGCAAGTGAATGGTGAGGTAAAACGCTTCCACTGACAGCCAAAAGTCCCCTTTTCAGCTACAAATAGGCCTCAGTGGGGCGGACGAAAGCCTTTGGTCCTACTGGTTATCAGGGAGGCACTGAAAGCTGATGGCGGATGCACATCTGCAGGATTCATTTATGGAACCACTTTTCGACCATCAGGCGAGTTCGTTTCCCCTTCAACTTTCACGAATGATTTTAATAGGACGTCTTACATGACTAGGCTTACAAAGGCAGTGCGTTCAGTCAGGCCTACCCCTTTCGACTTCAAACAACTGATATGTCAGTTCACCCCGTCTTACAAAAGACATCACACATTTTCATACTTCAAGATGCCGTTCGTTGACCACTCGAGCCACCCTACGATGGACCATTCAAGGTCGACAAGCTACATGAAAAATTCTACACAACTGAGCGAAGCGGACGTGAAGACGTTATTGGTATCGGCCATTTGAAACCAGCTTATTCCGAAAGCGACTTCATCGTGAGTGACGTTTCTGCTCACCAAAGCCAGCCGGCAGATGGCCCAACAATCGAGATTCTTGATGATATGCCTGTTAATGCCTGGGAGCAAGTCACTTGCGCAACAAAATCACGATCAGGTTCCCGAGTTATCTGAAGACACACTGAGTAGTGTGAGCAGAAGTGTGCCAATCAGTTTTGATTTCCAACTTTTTTGAGGGCACCGCTTTTTATCAGGAATGCGGAAATTTTCTAGATTGTACCTTTTTTGGCCCCATTTTTTACCGCCACGTAATCATACTTCTTTGTGGATCAAATTGCGATGCTGCGCATCATCACAGAACAGAGTATAAAATGGCAGTCAACTCTCTACTCCAACTTCATCGACTTCGAAAAGGCCTGCAACAGCGTCGACCGAGAAGTAGTTTGGAAACCGCTTCAAGACTACAGAGTGCCACAAATCTTTATCAACCTCATTCAACAGCTACATAAAGACGCCGCATGCCAAGTGATTCACAATGGTAAGCTCAGTGATGCCTTTGAAGTGAGACAGAAGCAAGACAAGGCTGCCACACACTATCACCCATGATATTCCTGATTGCAATCTACTGTATCACGCAGCAAACAATGAGGAGTGAGAAGGTCGGCATACGCTGGCTGGACCGATAAAAAGACCCCACAAGAAAACTTGGATTTCTCCAACCATGATGATCTATGTCTAATGTCTTGTCGCACAAACTCGAAGATCCACAGGCCAAACCAACAGGTTAATCGAAGAAGTTGCGAAGACGGGACTTCAAGTGAATGTAGAGAAGACAGGTGATGAAGATGCCTAACCAACAACAGCATTAACAACAAGCACCGCTCATAGGTAACGGGAGGAACCTAAAGGAAGTCGTCTCTCACCATCACCAATCTAGGCAGCATCGTTTCTACTACAGGTGGCAGAGGCATGCATGAAGATGTCAAAACCAGGATCGGAAAAGCAGTAAGGCAGGCTTTCATTGATCTGGAATCAGAGTGCGGATCTTCTGCACTCAGCACAAAGAACAAGATCCAGGTTTTGAACACCCGCATCAAGTCAGTGTTTCTATATATTTCGGAAACTTGGCGCGTCACGAAAACCACTTCCAACAAACTACGGATATTCATCTGCAGCTGCCTGTGCACGATACTGAAGATCAGAGAGCCAGAAAGAATGGGCAACAAGGAAATCCGGGAGCAAACCTATCAAGAACCTATCGCCCAACAAATATACAGAAGAAAGTGGAGATGGATTGGGCAGAGTTCGAGAAAGCCATTCGGAGACATTACGCGCCAGACCAGGGTATCGATTGGAATGCAAAGGGGGAAAAAAGGACCAGTTGGGCCTCCGCGGCGGGGGTGAAATGGAGATCGTGTGAGGAAGAAATAGAAGCTTGTGGGCAGTCGTGGAGACAGGTCCAATGAAACCAGAGAACAGAGTGGAATGGAGACGTGCTACTCGAGCCCTATGTTCCAACAGGAACCCAAGGGAAAAATAACAGCTAATAATAATGATACTTCTTCGATAGATAAAATCGAGCTGAGCATCAGGCTCAATTTCGATATTTTTTGTTCATAGATGCATTCCACTTTCGCAAAACTTTTTCGTAGCATTAAAGACTTTTATTTCTATTCCAGCTGCAAAGAACGCTGAACGAAACACCTAGGGGCACTGGGGGTCTCTATTAGCGTGAAGTTCGATTGATTGTTTTTTTCACGACGCCCCCGAATGAGTTCAGAAAAAACGGTCACCCACCAAAGCCAGCCCATCAGAATAGATTACTTGCAGTGAAGCCACCGGATTTTTACCTTTGGCTGGCATCGTTTCAGGGTTCTCGCGAATCGAATAAGAGAAAGTGATCTATAGCGGCACACAATCCCCCAAAATCAACAGCCCAGGGCTCGACGAAATTCAACGCCGATGCTGATCTTCAAAGTCTTATTAAACTCGCTAAGCTTAAGACCTGACGTTAGACATCTACATCACTTGGCACACTCTCGTGTCACGTTGCACTACTCGTGGTCAACCCCCTAGCCAGCTAGTCAGAATGCATCGGTATTTTGGCGCAACCCCTCAGATATTCCACTTTGTCCTTCCTTGGTCTCGCACTTGTATGTATATTACAAGCAAGGATAACTAGTGACTGACCACTGCGCTCGTCAAGTTCTTACCTAGAAAATTCTAAATGCACCATAATGTAATCTAAGGTATGAGAATTATTTTTTCTTTTACTTGTGGTTGATTTCATAGCCAGTACTGAAGGGTACCTTTCAGAAAAGGTTTGACAACGGAATAATGCTACGTAGGTCAGACCCCTACTGCACTACAGACATACTTATAAGCATTCAACTACAGTGTACCTTGGGCACAGTAAGGGATCAGCTACTCAAAATGTGAGCTTCTCCCAGCGAAGTTTGTGTTAATTTTCATGTCTCGGTCTCCCCTCCTAGCTTACTTGTTCTCGTCTACCTTTTGTCTCCCTTATATATTTATTCAAAGTACGTTAACTTCCCAACGCTGGTATCTGAATGTTTTACCTGTCTGATTTATTCAACCACTTATCCTGAAGTTCGATTCTGAAATGTAATTGAAATATGTTAGAAGTACAATAGTACTTTGGTCGTTTGTCCACTATCGATTATTTATTTGCTGTTGACAGACACTGAAGCCTTCGCTGTCAGGATCGCTGAACCCTGGAAGTTCATTACAACTGAAATGAATTCAGTGGTTGCTGATGGGAAGCTTGTGGCTCTGGATTACATGTTTTAACAATTAACCCTTAATATAAACTTTATACTTGATGTTCAAAACGACTGTCTTCCCTGTTCTAGTGGTGGATTTGTAAAACAGCATCAGAAGGTTTTACAAAAGCGGAAATGTTGTATTTTTCAACACGGACTTTGGAAAGATGTAGAAGTGATCCAGGATACTTCATCTGAATCCTTTAAACGGCTACTCGATACATACTTACTATATAGGTGACAGCTAACTTACAACTAATTTACTTTTCGTGTTTTAACCGCCATCCTTTGTCTTCCCTGTCTCTATGTAGGTTGATGATTAGAGAGAATCGGGGTTCACTATCGATGTACACGAAAACCAGTTAACCGAAATTTGTTATTGCTTCACCGACTATTCCGATTCTCTCACACGGTAGTCAACTGCTAGAAATTGTTAATAGAGCAAGATTTAGCAGTTTTGTTGGTGAAAACATCCAGGAAAAATGGAATATTCCCATAGAAACCTACTGAAACGACTAAAGACTAAACTGACCTATAACTGAAGGTTATGTGGAGGCTTTTTTCTATTCAAGGTCAATGTCGACAATTCTAGGAGTGTCAAGGCCTGCAAGCGAGAGCTGAGAAAATTTAAGTTTCTTCTACTCACGTTACTGATGTTGTTGTTAAAAGGAGTATAGTTATAGTCTTCCCACAGTAAGTACCATCCATATTAACACAGCCTTTCACACGAATAAGGCATTATCTGAATTTGCAATATATGTGCTAGTGCGTCTCATTTTTAGGACCATTTTAAGACTGATGACTTCGTCTCTTTAGAGCTGACACAATTGGTTTGGTAATTTCAGACCAGTCTTTCAGTTATAAATTTATGGTGGATAATTGATAATGTAGTGTTTTTTGCTAGCCTTATGCATATACGTCTTCGCAGTAACAATAATGCGTTGCTCCCCCCTCCCCCCCCGGCCAGCAAACACTTTTGGCCCACTAAAGTTTTTGTTTTTCAGTAATAAGGGTAGTAGGCCATTTGGCTTTTCTTAATCCTTGCAGAAGATATCTCTGTAAAGACTTAGTTTCTTGAATGCGTTGACCGAAGGTGCTGATACTACTTGCTTAGGTAAGTTGTTCTAGTTTTTGATCACACGATGGGCGAGACGTAAATTCACGCTAAATATGATCGATCACGGGTTTTGAATTTTCTTGTGATACCCTTGAAGACAATCAATTATAACAGGAGAGAAAATATAAGACGTATCAATACCGAAGTCATTATTAAGGATACGGAATCCCAGTAGGAGATTCCATTCCCCTACGGTAAAACAATAGGAATAAGGTTAGCCGATCTAGTCATTCCTCACACGGGAGATTCGAAAGGTCTACCGCAAGCTTAGTACCTACCCTCTGAACACGCTTGAGTATGTCAGAATCCTTATTTAGGTATGGACTGGCCGCCTGAATATAGTATGCCAAGTGAGGTCTGACGTAGGTAAAATAGAGTATTTTGAACACATCCTGATCAAAACTTTTGAAAGTTCTCCGGATGGACCATAATATACAGAAGCCCTGTGATGCAGCTGCTTTATTGTGCCGAAGTTTTCATATCATGACTTATGGTGATACCAAAGTCTTTCAGTTCAAAAACTGGGAGTAGTGATATACTCAACCGGAAACAATTGCTACAGTCAGTCTGCATTATTGCACTTTTACTACACTTGATTTTCAGGCACGTATGTTTGGACCAACCTACCAGTTTATGCGAATCCACTTGGAGTGCATACCTATCAGCAACACTACGTATGCCCCTCCAACCTTTTCGTAATAGAGAAGCAGCAGCACCGAACAGTTGAGCATTTACTGTAATTCTCATGACAGGACAAAAAAAGTAGGGAACCTAAGATTGTCCCTTGAGGAACTCCACTCATTGCAGGTTCCCACCCGAACAGTATCATATTAACCCTCACTCTGCCTTCTGTCTTACAGAAAGTTACTAATCCAGGGTCACAATGCAGCACCCAACCCGGAAGAAGATAACTTTTCCAGCGACTTCACAGGAGACTATCAAATGCCTTACTAAAGTCTATAAACATGGCATCTATTTACAGCTTGCAATCACAGGCTGCAACCTCTTCGTCTCTAACCATGAGGAGGTTTGTTAGAACGAAAACTGTGCTACTGTGGTCATCGTCCTCAGGATTAACATAGGACCAGGGATTACTGTGTGACAGTCCAAGTTGCAACACCTCATCTCATATTACCACCTCAAGTAACAAGGCAATATAATAAGTATGGAGGAAAGAAAAATCAGTCAAAAAAAGTAGTAGAAAACAGTGGGAGAGAGGAAGGAAGGATGAGAAACCGAAATGAAGTATAGCGACTGAGGTGAGGATAATGTGTATGCATGTGCTCCACTGACATCGGTCCTCAGCCATATCACCAAAAGCCTCTAACCACTGGTTTCTCTTGTCGCATGGGACCCAACCGGCTAGACTGAATCGCCCTACATGGGTCAAACGAATAGTCAAAGACTTCGCACATTGGTGTAATACTTTAGTCTGGCCATCCCGAAGCCTTTTCCAGCCTGAACCTACTTAAGTCAACATTGGGTGACGAGGCAGATAGTGGTTAGGGATACACAACCCATGTCCCTGCCATCTCAGTCAAGAGAGGTTCACAACTGCATCAACTGACATGCCTTTCTTGTCTAAACCCCTACGCCTGACTTCTGGGTTACTCACTGGGTGATACCACAAAACACGGCCATTGCTAAGAAGGCAACGGTGGTCAAACACCTGAAGCCTTCTCATGTCTTCTTCTACTGTTAATGCCCATGTTTCACAACAACACAGTAGAACAAAATGGACTGCACCACAGTACACTCGACTCTTAATAGGCAATCTGATATCGCAGCTGTGACACAGGTGGCATAAGTTGGCAAAAGCCAACCAACACTTTTGTATCTGTGTGGAAATTTCGTCGACCACTGACCAATCCACTACGCATCATCCAACTTCCTAGGTAAGTGAAATGTTCAACGTGCTCAACCATCATCAATATCAACATAGGACCAGGCATCACTGCGTAACGGTCCGAGTTGCCACACCTCATATCAGTACATCAAGTAAAACCGCACTCACGTGCAAGATGAAGATAAAAAAAATTCAGTCAAAAGAAACAAAAAGTGCGAGAAGAACGAAAGGAAGAATGAAAAAATGATGAGATTCGGTAAAGCGTTAAGATGAGGACAATGTGTGTATACATCTGCGTCACTGACATCGGTTCTCAGCCATTTCACCTAGAGCCAGTCTCCAACCACTCGTTCCTCTTGTCCCACTCAACCACTTCTCACTCTCTATTGTTAGTCAAGGTACCGTTGAAGACTAGTCCTGGAGCAATAATTTGCATTCACTGAACGAGAAACGCATCTCAAACATTCACAAATTCCCACTCAAAGTCTCCAGAAGACTCTGCATCTTGTTAGCATCTTCATCTAACACGACTGACTATGTGCTCTGAGTATTCTAGGTCTACCAAAAATTCTACTGTGATCAAGTCAATCCGTGTGTGGTCAGATGACGAGACAGACACCACCATAAGAGCATCTATGATAAGATTGAATAGGAATGGAGAGAGTGGGCATAGTTGACGCACACCACTCGACGTATACAACTCACCCGATATATCACCATAGGCTCTAACACCCACCCTCCACAGGTGTTTAAGTAAAGAGTCTTCAATAAGGTGTACTTACTCGGTGACCCCTCCAATCAGATACACTTCCATAAGACTTCACTATCCATGCGGTAGAATGTCGCCTCCAAGTGAAAAAATACAGCCATTGTCGGGTGTCAGTAAGCGTGCTTGTGTTCCAGAACCTGACGGTGTGGAAATTTGGTCGATACACCCACGGCCAGACCTGAAGCCTTACTAGTTCTACCAGGCTTGCTGTTTCCGAGCTCCAGTCAAGCATCTAATGATTTTAGAACCTAGGATCCTACAGACTATGTTCGTCAGTCGGATTCCTCTGTGGTTATCTCAAGAAGACTTCTCGCTTTTCTTCATGATTGGGATAATCACTGATTTAGGACCAGTCAGTGGGGATCATATCTGACTCCCATACACTAGTTGATATTCCAGTTAACCTGTCTAAAAACATTCTACCACCGTCCTCATATACCTCCCGACCGATAGCTGCTACCTTGACGTGGTGGTCGGGCTTGCATATCACAATGACCCAACGAGCTATGCTGGTGGAACGCTTGTTCCCTCGAGGTCCTACCATACCAGAAAGGTCTGTTGGGTAGTGGTTAGACGAAAAGCAGTTACCGTCATAGTGTAAATTGCTATACTATGATGGGGGTCTGAGGGCGAAGTCGTACTGCTGCTAGCTGGATGGGGTGTGACAGCAGTAAGGTGTTTCCCTTGGATGACCAGCAGTGCCAAGCTGATGCTGCCTTCTCAGTGGAAGGGGGGGTTAGAAAAGGTCGGCCCCAAAAATAACACACTCCACCACGCCCCACGGTCTGCCGGGCCGGCGGTGTTGGTTCACTTGTCGTTTCCTTTCGACCATCCGGCCCCAAAAATACAAAAATTCAAAATAATCATACTCAAAAGGCTGGGTGTGACAGGCCTCAAGCAGATGTCCGATGGGCTCTGCGGTCACACAAATCTCTTTCAGGTACCTTAAGAAGAAATAGCCTTCCACGGTGTGGGCAGCCGGGAAGTGTCAACCGCCCTCACAACTCTGTCAGCACCCAAGTTTCTTCTGACTGCTATCCTCCTCCTCCATCATTACCTTCTAATCTTCCTTCACGTCTCTTAATTAATGATGCTGCATCATCTTCAATTTCTCCTACCTCTGCAGCCTTCGACAACGATCTGAGTCCACAGAACAGTGTCCCTGGTCTCCTTAAACCACGCTCCAAATTACATATTGGAGCCTTCAATGTCCGCACCCTCCGTCAAATTGGCCAACAGGCTTCGTTGGCAAAGACTCTAGCAACTCGGGCATGGATGTGTGCTGTGTTTGTGAGACACGCATACAGGACCCAAGTGTGGTTATTCACCTGACCTCTCCTGACCAATCTGGTGAATCTGCAAAATTCACCCTTCGAGTTTCTGGAGATTCGATAGCTAGCTCTCGTGGTCTTGCAGGTGTAGGTATAGCATTAAGCACCAGGGCAGAAAACTCACTACTAGACTGGATCCCAGTTGATAGTCGCCTCTGCGCTATGAGGCTGAACGGCACAGTGAGAACTAAAAGGAATAGTGAGACTCGCCGTTGTCTCTTTGTAATCTCTGCTTACGCACCCACTGACTGTAGTTCGGATGAAGTGAAGGACGAGTTCTACCATAAACTGTCTAACCTCCTCTCGAAAGCCAAACGTTCGGACGTAGTGGTTGTTGCAGGTGACCTCAACGCACAGGTGGGTAGACTGAGTGAGGCAGAAAGGCACTTAGGTGGCACTTTCGGAATCCCAGCTGAACGTACAGATAACGGTGATCGCCTATTACAACTATGCTCAGATAACCGCCTATTTTTAGCCAGCACAAATTTCAGACATAAAGAAAGGCACTGTCTGACCTGGCGTCCACCGAGCTCGACTCAGCGATGGACACAGATAGACCACATTGCTATTAGTCATCGCTGGAGAGGATCGGTGGAAGACTGCCGCTCCTTCTGGAGTACGTGTTTGGAC